TGAAATATACAGGATAGCCCGTTCTCAAGGCTCTGACCTTTAAAGGTGCAACACTTTTCTATTCATATAGAGTTAAAAAGTTGCAGAACAGAGAATAACATTTGTTTTGTTGGAGGTTTACAGGAACATCCTGACATGACATGACCTGACCTGACCTGACCTACATGGACAGCTGCAAGAACAAAGGATTCTGACACCAAGAAGTTTGCAACAACCAACCACACCCCGTCCCCTTTTAGTATAAAAGAAGTCTGAATCCTAACTTGGGGAAGATGGTTCTCTGGGACATCATTTTCTCAGTTGGCTGGCTTTCTGAGTAAAGTAGCTATTCCTGGCCCCAACAGCTCGTCTCTCAACGTATGGCCTGTTGCGGGGTGAGCAGTAGAAGCTTGGACTCAGTAACACCTCTTAATCCACACGTCAATCCTACCCCATCCCTACTGGTCTTACCAGCCCCTCAGAGCTGTCATCAGACTCAGATATATGCTGGGGTCAGGGAGGGAGCAAGGGGCTTGGTGAGAGTCAAGAATGCGCACCGCCGAGGGCTGAGGTCGTGATCAGAGATGGAGGGGTTAGAGCCTGACTTCACTGTGAGCTCTGAGTTCAAGTTCAGGCTTTGCCACTTATCAGCTTTGTGTCCTTGAAAAGTGCTTCCCTTGTGTAATAGGTGATTAAGAAAAGATCTGCCTCATAGGCCCAATGTGAGATCAGGAGAAATAAATGTGATAATGCACATCAAGTGCTCAGCACAGGGCCTGGGAGAGAATAAATGCTCAGTTAAAACGAAGAGATTATCATCGTCAGGGATGAGTGAGGTTTAGAAATCTGACTCTCATCAAGGATGTCTATGTCCAGTTACTAGCGGATAGGATAAGAGCCCTATGCATCAAGAAAGCTGTGTCAAATCAGCCACATCACAGGGTCTTCCTTAACGTAAAATGCTGTGCCTGCTCTCACAAAGCTAGAGACACTAAACATATATGACTGATGTTAATAGAAAAATATCAAGTGGAAGGCGAAGATACCAAAACCAGTGTTCAGAGGAGGGCTACACAAAGAAAGAAGTGAGTGCTTTCATTCTGGAAGCATCACAGAGGGCTTTGTGGAGGTGGTAGCATCCAAAGCCAGGTAATATCGAGGCAGCTCATCTAAGCCCGAGAACAGCATGAGTACACACAGGGAGCTGGACATCCCAGGACCCATTTAAGGCAATAAGAGAGTGAGTCCCACTCTGTACACTGCGTCCGCCCCCAGACCCCAGGAGGGGGTGGACAGGAAGAGAGGGAGCCCCGTGCTTCCCTTTATGATGTGAGTTCCTCTGTGTCACTTGAAAGGGAAGGGCACCTAAGAGCTGTCATGTAGCAGATAAGGCTGTAGTCCTAGGCTGCCCACATTTCAATCTTGGATGTGCTCCCTTGCTAGCCGTGTGCCCTTTGGCAAATTATTTAACTTCTCCTGCTTCAGTTTCCACAGGTGAAAGATGCAGTTAATCGTACTGATAGTGTTGCCAAAGGGATAAAATGAGACAATGCAAGTACAGCAGGTGGCATGCACCCTCTGAGCCAGAGCCACAATAACCGCATACAATCGTACGATAATACAACTTAGCAATACTGTAACATTATATAATATGAGATCCCCCCGGGCTGGAAATGCGTGGAATATTGTGTGTAGTGCTACCAATCCTCTGAGCACTGCTTGTCACCTCATCCGGAAATTCTATACCCACTTCAAGCCACTAGAATAAACTGGAGGGTTAAGATGTTTTCAAAGTAGATTTTCTTTTCAGAAACAGATAAAACCAGCCTTTTGAAAAAAAAAAAAAAAAAAATCTCTGAAACTAATTTCAACCTCTTGGTGGTCTACTCCAGAAAAGTGACAACAATGATGACAACTGATGTTTATTGAGCACCTACTATGTGCCAGGCACTGCTCTAAAAACTTCAAATGTATTAATTCCTTCCATTCCCTCCAGACCCTAACAAGGTGAGTTTTATTGTTACATGAATTTTACAATAGAGAAACTGAGGGCTCCCTTAAAAGCACTCGTATCCAACCTGGGCTGGCCAAACAGGAAATAGGAATTCACTTCTGAAGGCAAAGAGGCTTCCAACGTATTCATCCTGATTTTTGCTCCAAACCATACATTTGCCACATGTGGGAATGGCTGACTCTCCCTCTACCACCATCACCAAGGGAAACAATTGCCTGGCTGGGATGTCTCCCTAGGCTGATGCAACCAGAACAGCCTGCCCAGCAAGTGACAGCCATCACTGGGTGGTGCCGTTGCCACTTTCTGATTAGAGACTCTGTGATTCCTCCCCACCCCACCGCCCCCACTTCCTGGAAGAGATTGTAAACCTCAAAAGGTCAAGATCAGACTGTGTTTCTCAATGAGCACAAGGCTACAGGGCCATCGTCCCAGATCCCCCGTGCTGGCCTGACTTCAGAAGCATCCTCATGGCGCTCCCACAGGGATGCTTCCGATGACAGACAGCAGGAAGGCTCGGATTCCCTAAAAGTGTTTACTCTCATGAGCTACTCCCCATCTGCCTTCAGTTCTATAGCTTGTCTTATACCCTCCCTCGGGGTTGCAGGAACCAGACTCCTTTCCAGAGAGAAATCTACGGACAGACAAAGAAACAAAGAGGAGTGATGAGCTGGAATCTTTTCAAGAAAAGGCTTTGATCTGGCAAAAAAAATAGAGGCTGTCCATTTATTTATTCATCCCTCCACCCAACTTCCTAAAAAATACTCGGTTTATCACTTTCATACTTTAAAAGTTTAATTATCATCTATAAGATAAGCTTAAATTTAAGGCTCTTCAAAATCTAGCCCTAAACTTTACAGTCAAACATACTTTCAGGGCTTCCCTGGTGGCGCAGTGGTTGGGGGTCCGCCTGCCGATGCAGGGGACACGGGTTCGTGCCCCGGTCCGGGAAGATCCCACATGCCGCGGAGCGGCTGGGCCCATGAGCCATGGCCGCTGAGCCTGCGCGTCCGGAGCCTGTGATCTGCAACGGGAGAGGCCACAACAGTGAGAGGCCCGCGTACCGCAAAAAAAAAACAAAAAACATACTTTCAGTGATCCCATTGGATCTGCTCCAGCCCATCTGTTTCACCCAGAGCTCACCTCCCTTTACACTTGGTGCACTGGTCCCTTCCTCGGTGTGTTCATTAACACTATTCCTCCTGCCTGTGATGCCCTTGCCTCTCCTTTCAGGGATGTGCTCATGTCAGCTTCTTGGACCACTCTGTCACACAAGACCCCTCCCTTTCTGCAGGAGAGGGCTGTCCAGTGTGCTGCACTGGCCTGCCAGGGACATGTCATCTTTTCACTGCTAGCTGACATTCCACTAGTTTACAAAATTCAACATTAATCTATTTTACTGAGCGTTTGCTAAGGGCAAGATACCCTGCTATCTCTGCCCTGCAGAGATCTGAAGACGTAATCCTACCCTTCAAGGAGTTCATCATCTGATAAGAAAGATAAACAGATGTGCAATGAAACTCAGCAGTCAACAGAATGAAATAAATGCTCCCTAGATGTATGAGGCATGTGTAGATGCACAGTCGAAGGTTAAGGAGTTCTAACACACAGCCCTCCTACAGGGGCCCAAAGTCCAACAATAAACCAGCGGAGGCGCTGGACACAGACCCACAACGTATCAGCCACTGTAGGATCATCCCAAGGTCTCTTCTATTAGTACAGACATTCTTTTTTCTTTAGAAATTGTCCACTTGGAAGGCACGAGTATGTCTTCCCAAAGGGGATGTGGTACAGGATGGTTCCATCCGTATGGAGAGAGAAGGGTTGGGAAGATGGAATGTGACATCTGGAAATGGGAGGCCAGAAGCACCATCTGGGAGGGAAGGTGGGGGGATCTGAAACAAGAAGTTCCACTCGTTTCATATAAGCAATCTGGTGTCAGCCCAGCATAAGAGCTTCAACGGGGAGGAGCAGATGTGACAGGTGTCCAAGAGTCCAGGGTGCTCAGCAAGGCTGGAGGGGTGAGGCAGATGTCAAAGGTGAAAGTGGCAAAAGCCGATGTCAGGGACCGGACAAGGCTGGAAGGCCAAGGCAGCAGGGTCTTAAAGGTAGTAGCTGGCGAGGGTCAGCGTAGGAACACAGGGAGAAGCCCACCCACCTGCAGGCTGAGTCCACCCTCCACCCTCCTCCAGGGCTTGACAGTGGGGCTAGTTCCCTCCGGGTGAGAAGACGAAGTGCTTGTGCCACCAGCAGAGGACCTCAGCCCTTGTCCTTCTCAGGGCCTGAGACCCAAGTAAAACAATTCCCACCAAAGCCCTACAGTACTCTTCCCTTCCTTTCAAGGACACTAAACAACCCCCAACTTAAAATATGCTCTGAATCGTCAGATGCCTTCAGCCCCTGACACATAGTCATCAGAGCAGCCATAGCTTAGTAGATGGGCTGCATGTCCTCCTGAGTGTATTCAAAAATCAATTTCTATCTAACCTGGCATCCAAACCCAGTCAATGCTAGACTATACGGTAGACTTGGAGAAGTTGGTTCATGGTGGCCCTCATGATCACTTTACTGTAAGATTCAGGGACCTGCCCCACTGATACACATGGAGATGTCCCTAATGCCTCTACTAAGCACATGCCCATCAGGGGCTATACCACAGTGACAGACCCAGCGACCCTCCCAGGAATGAGGATAAGCAGTGCAGCATCACGGTTACGAGAATGCACCATGGCACCAAACAGCTTGCTTTGAATCCAGGCTGTGTTACTTATTTGCTGTGTGACTTTGGACAAGTTACTTCACTTCTCTGTGCATTTTCACCATCCATAAACTAGTAATGACCATCACAGTACCCACTTCATAAGATTGGGGTAAAGATTAGATTAAATATATGTAAAATTCGTATGCAAGTACTGGATAAATTATAGGTATTACTATTTGGTTTTTTTTTTAAATGGACGACATTTTTGTTTGTTTGTTTGCTTGCACTGCACGGCTTGAAGGGTCTTAGCTCCCTGACCAGGAACTGAACCTGGGCCACGGCCGTGAAAGCACTGAGTCCTAACCACTGGACCACCAGGGAATTACCAAAAAATGGACAACGCTTTGTCCAAAGAAGCGAAGAAGTGAGTTTCACAGAGCTGAATCCCATGCCCTGAAGCAGCTGAGTGGCTGGTGGTGCAGAGCAGAAGCACAAACCCCAGAGCTCTCCATTTCCATCATATAATCCACCCACCACGTCCCTGAGTGGGAACGGCCTTGGCTCAGCGTTTAACGGATCAGTTTCCTAACCCAGGCTGCCTCCTTCATCTTTACTGTTCTCTGTGGTCATGTGATATATTTATTCCTTTCCTCTATATAAATATCATTTCTGTTTTCTGTATTTACTACTCAAATTGATGCATTATACCACAAGCTGTACATTTGTCTTCATTCTGAAGGAGTAAGTAGATCTTTCTCTTTTTTTTTTTGTAATTCAATAATTTGATTTGCTATACAAAACAATTCAAGTTTATATTCCTGAGGGAAGGGGAAAAAAACAAAACAAGCAAATAGTACCACCTCAGTAATAAAAGAGGGAGGGGGGGAGAGGGAGAGAGAGAGAGAGAGAGAGAGAGAGAGAGAGGGAGAGAGAGAGAGATTGATGCAGAAACCCTGAGGGTGAGAGAGAGTGCAATTTCACAGGGAGAAATTACCTCTCAAACATCCGAGGTCTTTCACACCATTTGAATTCAACACAACTATTATTGGCAAGGGCTGGTTAGGGCAAGAAGACAGTTAACGGGTCTGAACAAGGTGCTGTAAACCAGCCGAGAGTCGTCTTCTCCAGATGCTTGTAGAAGCCAGGGGAAAAAAAAAAAAAGCTGTCTGAAATTCATATTGGGAGTTGGAGGACACCCAACAGTGACAGGGACAACGGTACACAGGGGGCCAGGAGGTCTACTCTCTTGGCTGACGGATGAGGTGAATCTTAACTTTTCTCCACTAGCAGTGTGTGGAGCAGAATTCCAGTCTCAGCCAAACAGGTATCACGTTGGGGCAGCAGAAGAGCAGAGTGGCCTCGAGTTGGCGCTCCCACTTCCCAGCTGTGTGCCACCAGGCAGATAACCTCTTCCAAACCAGCCTTGGGCTTCTTTTAAAGCCCACATAAAGGCTCATCTTCCTACAACCCCAAGTCTCACCTACGCACTCCAGCTGGGAGCAATCTAGCCCTCGACTATGTCCATGTGTATGTTTACATGTGTGTATATGTATATACGTACACCTACATGTCTGTATGTCTATTACATCATATCCCTAATGTGTGTGTACACATATCTATGTGTATATGTATATATGTGTGTGTACACATATCTATGTGTATATGTATGTGTGTATATGTGTGTGTATGTGTATGTGTGTATGTGTGTGTATATGTGCATGTGTGTATATGTATGTGTATGCATGTATATGTGTATGTGTGTGTGTGTGTGTGTGTGTATGTGTGTGTATGTGTGTGTGTGCGCGTACTGTTTTGGAGCTGCAGAAACATTAAGACCTGTTTCAATTCCCCTCTTTTACAGAAAATGGGAGGAGGTCCAGAAGCTTTAGGAGACTTGCTTAAGGTGACACAGCTGGGATTTGAACCCAACGAAACACCTGGCCTTTGCTCCCACAGGGTGCCCCTAGAGGGGAGTCTTACAGGACTGAAAGGCTTATTTTTACAAGCTAAGCATGTTCAGTGCAGGCTCTTGAGACGCCTGAATACTCACTCCAAAGAGGGAGCCCCACGCGAAGCTCTTTTACTTCTCAGCATGTTCACGCCTGCTGCCCCAACACTCAGGTCCCCAGGCTGGTTTATACATCCTCGTATCTCCCACAGTACTTACAAATGGAAGCTGCTCAATAAATGTTTGTAAATGAATGAACGGTTGAGTGGGACACGAGTAATGGAACTTTGCAGGGAGGTCTGGGGGGATAAAGATTTACCTAACAGTTTATGTTACCCTTGACGTGCCATGCCTTTTTGCTTGCCCAGGAGACCAATAGCACAAATACATGCCTTGCCATGAAAAATTCACAACCGTGTGTTAGTCAGATACCCTGGTGACATTACTTGCAAACTGGAAAGCCAAGGTCACAGCAGAAGCTGCCGTAAATCAAATGTGTCTTAAACACAGCATCTTCCTGTTGGGAAATCTGACCCACTTACTGCATTTCCCCCAGGATAAAGGCTACTTAGCACACCTCCTGCTTAAGGAGAGGATGCCTGACACTCAAATACATCTGACTCCAACCTGTAACATCAGCCACTGGCTCCAAGGCATCAATCCCTCTGGCCACAAACAGCTCAAAGCAAAGCTTATCTGGTGCACGGTGCATTAGGCCATCACAGGAGAAGATGTGAAAGGCTTTAAAGCAGCATTTCCCAAACTGTTCCACATGATATTTCTAGGTGTTTGGCAAATAAAAGCATCGCACAAAGAATTTGGGGGAAGCTGCGTGTCCTACATCCTGTTCTTGAGAGTTCCACAAAGTGCCTATGAAAAACCCACAGTGAAGAAACCTGTTTAACCTTGCTTTACCCAGGGTCTCCCAATCATTTTGACAACTAACACTTTATACCAGGCAGCAGCAGCTCTGTGGAACTGCCGGCTCTGCGGTTAAAGCTATTTATAACTGTAGAGGCCACTGGGGTCCTCATGCCGACTTTCCCTCCCACTTCTGTGGGGCCTTAGGAAGAGTCATAGGGAAACACTGTCTGCACGGGAGAGCAGGGATTCAGCTCTTTCTGGAAATGATGGAGAAGAGAAATCTTGCCCACAGCCTCCTCATTCACAAATGTCCTCAAGAGGCCTGTCCAATGCCCCTCTATTTAGAGGTTGTCAAGTAAAAGCAAATCTGGACTTAGTAAGGAGAGACTTTTATTCAAAAGGATTATTGCCAAATGTGGGGGGGGGGACTATTGAAATAGAGGAACACTGTCCATAAAATCTGCACACAGCTCAGACTCAGGCAGAAAGGGTTTTCTTTTATAGAGAAGGGTAAGTAAGTCTAGAAAGACCAGATGTGGGCGAGTGAGATGAAAAGGTGGCGTGATTGGATAGTCAATCAAAGAAGGTTTCATGTGGAGGCCAGCCTGTTCTCAGGAGGGGCATCTGCTGGCTCGGGCTGAGCGTGGGCCAAAGGCCAGGGTGTGGAGGAAGGAGGGGAGCTTAACCAAAGTTTGGGTAACAAGCATTTTGTTCCGATGGATCAGTGTGGATAAAACAGTTCAGCTAATCCTTTGTGGGACAAAGAATGAGAATTTGGAGAGTCTGGGTCTGGCTTTGTCATTGGTAAACAAGCGGGGGGCGGGGGGG